GTCAGGTTATGTTAGAGTTGAAAAGGGAAAATGATGGGTTCATTGTTAATTAACTTTCCAGCAATGCATTTCACAAACTAGTTAGCAACTATGTGAAGATACCGCTGACTCTAGCTGTGAGCTGCTCAGCTTTGCACACTGCACTCTTGCACTTACATCTGCTGCATGGTGCTGATAACAATGACCCTCGTTTCCCAGCATGCACTGCCTAGTGCTGAACTAATTAGTTTCTTAAGTTTTCTGTTCCAAAATGCAAATGATGCAGTGACATCAATATATTACCAAAATCATTTCATTCTGCATTATATAATGAGAAAAAAATATTTTTTTATTCATATTGGCAGATAGCGAATGATATATATGCAGCAACACCAATATGTCTGCTATAGGCCTATATCTATATTTTAACACCTGATATTATCGGAATACAGGAAGTGTGTTATAAGACATCTCTGAAGCTGGTGAAGCAATTTGTTGAATGTCTGGTATTGATCAGTAACTCTATTGTGCCAACACAGATAGTCAGTGTTGTTGTTTCTACGAAGAGTGACACAGTTTCTTTTGGCCCTTGGATTTTTTAAAAATGATCACTTTCACGTTTGCTTTTATTTTTTATTAGCTTTTCAGCTTGTTTCAAGTAGCAAGTAGTGAAACTCCTGTCTGAGGTATTATTTCTTGGGTGAGTCTGAACACTGAAGGTCAGGAGTATAGCTGTAGAAGCTCTGGGGAGCATGAAGGGATGATGTGAATTCACACTGATGTCTCAAATAGATTCCTGTGACTGCAGGCCTAGCTTGGCTGCACCTGGCACTTCAGAGCCTTTGCAAAGACAACAGCAGCACCTCTCCAACCACCTCCACCAACTTGTCAGCTTTGACCATGCCCTTGGGTTTATTTACCCTTGGTTATTTTTTTCCAACAGCAGTATAATCCATCTTCTGAACATAATGCCGTAGGTCATGCACATGTTAAGCTTTGGCTGATTCTACTGGTTTAATACTGATAAAATACGGAGAAGGAAATTCACAGACAAGGACATTTATCCATATTTCTGTGCTTGGGCTGGATCATAAAAAACAGTAGTTTTCGTCATCATTGTACTGATAGTGGCATACCTGCAAAATTACATGTTAAACCAGTTTAGACTTGTTATGTTGAATTGCACAGTAATGTCAAATCAAAACAATGTATCTCAAATAATGTGCAGATGATCCAGAAAATTAATTTAGGATGATGTGAAGTTAAGCAAAGCAAGTAAATCTTTGGAACACTATGTGAATTTTTACTTAATAAATTGCTAAAATGTATTGTAACGGTAAAATAAGCAAACAAACTCAATAATATACTTTATACAACCAACTATCTAAAGTTTGCTAACATTAGCCTCCATAAGCTACTGGTCATACCAGACCAAGCAAGCCTGTAGAGTGTATTGAAATGAGTACGTGTTTTTTGTTGCTTATGAATTAAAGTTGTAATTTGTAAGAGAATGAGTGTCTTTAAAAAGTTACATAGTCAAATCATTAGTCAGTATCATAAATTATAGCGTTTTTGTTCCTGTGATTGAATTACACATGGTCTGTACTTGCTGTTCTAAAAAACGTAAATGGATGCCATATGGCATAGACAGTGCAGGATATCATTAGACTTAAAAAAATAAACTGCAAACTATAGAATCGCAGCTTAGGTCATATATTAATCTGACCTTTGACCTTAACACTGAAAGGGGAGTGCTGAGACTGTAGCTCCTCTCTGATCCTCCCCGCCTAACTACAGTATGTAGGCCACTGTGTTTTTCTGTTCTACCCTCCTCTATGTGTAGTTGAGAAACAATGATGTCATTCTGCAGTCCAGCCCTGTTGCTCCTTTTGACTTTGACTGGACTGCTTTGTCCTTGGTTCTGTGGAGGTGGCCTAAATCATGTTGTGGGCTTCCTGCAAGAACAGAAAGATGGCATCTTTCATTCTCGAAATACTGATGCACAATGATGTCCGTTATTTTAAACAGCTGACATTGTTATTGCACTTTTGTTCTGATCGTAATTGACTTGGTTACTGTTGCAATAGGATCTTATAGGATCATCATTTTCCTTTCAATACTGAAAGTTGGAGAGAAAAAAGAAGTCCATACACTTTGACAGTGATATCGTTTCTTAAAATGTAGTTAGTCATATGAAAAATGTATTGGAAAGACAGGTGGGAGGTAGGAGTGTCCCATTCCAATTTGCAAGATTGGTATCAGGCAGATCTTGACATCAGTTGGGATTGGCTGAAGCACAACTGCTAATTGATATTCAGCAAACGTGACAGACTCTTATATGGCTGCCACAACAACAATATTACAAACTTAAGACCTTAAAAATGACCATCAGGTGGAATACATATTTCTGTCAAATAGACTTATAAAGCCTTATTTTCATGACAATTAAAGGCTTTCCTGGTCTCCACTCCCTGCGTATCACACAGCCATGTTTCTCAAGTTTTGTAAGAAAAATGTACACTTCCTTTCTCTTTCTTGCCTAGCTACACACCTGATCAGCAAAACTAAGTTGTTGGTGTTCTCTGCTGAGGCTCCAAAAAAGAACTGGATGGATTGCATTTTACAAATTGCATATGTCACAAGTCTGTGAGAAATGTTTGTGTTTTTAGTGTGAGTTGTGCACAGACCATTGGCCAGTATACAAGTGTGCTACTATACAGTATATCACAACCTTGACCTTGAATAAATAGATGGTTCTGTCCAGCACTTTAACTCTCTCTTTGTTAAATATAATACTGCACACTTAACGCCGGGAATCCACTGACTGCGGCTACGGGATGTTACGGCTGCGCCACGGTTTTGATGCGTACTCAGCCTGGCGTCAAAGTCCACTGGAAGCCACCAGAAGCGTTTCAGCAGCGGAGCATGCAGCCTGCCCCACATTATTGACTTGTTATTAGTTTGTCATGTTTGTGCTTCTACTGCCTTCCGCACAGCTCTATGTGAACCTGTTTCGTTCCGTAATCTTCAGGCTGCATTTCCCACAAGGAGCATTTCAGAATCAGAGCGTTTTGCCTGCCTGATTTTGCTGACCTGTTTAGAATTTGTTGATTTGGAAATCAGTGTTTGCATTTTGTGCTTGTACTAAGATTAAGTAGGCTATGTAGTTAAATGACTTCATTTTGTGCCTGTTTTAACCATGTTTATTGTTGTTTTACGATCGGGAGTCTCCACATGGTGTTTTATTTTGGAAATTGACCGGATTCTCTCTGCCGTTCTGTGTCTGACTTCCTGCCTGGTTCAATCTGCTCTGTGCTGCTTGATGCAAAGAGCTTGTAATGTAAATGCTCCGTACTTGTATAGCGCCTTTCTAGTCTTTTCGACCACTCAGAGCGCTTTTACACTACATCTGCATTCACCAGTCACACATATTCATACACTGAGCCTAAGTGCTCAAACGGAAACTAACATTCACACTGGCGGAATAGCCGCCAGGGGCAATTCGGGGTTCAGTATCTTGCCCAAGGACACTTCGACACGCAACCAGGGGGAGCCAGGGATTGAACCGCCGACCTTCCGATTAACAGCCAACCCGCTCTACCACCTGAGCCACAGCCGCCCCCATTGGCTAGCGGAAAAAATAGACCTGCTTCCTGTTCTCTGCGGAGCGGAGCGGCGCTTCTGGGACCCTTCTGGGGGTCCACCGCGTCTGGTGGAAAGCATTGACTATAATGGCCGCGATTAGCTCCGGCAACCGGCAGTGGATTTTAGCAGTAAGGCTTTAAATAGAATAATTAATTTCAATCCTTTCCACTGAGTAATACATTCTAATTTGATGATTAATTTCAACATCTTGCTGTTCTCTTTGTATAACCTCTAAACAGCTGCATAAAAACATCACTGAATCAGAACATCACTCCGAGGGCTAGTTTTGCGCATCTTATCATCCTCAGGGCTATTGGTCCCAGAGCTCCCAGAATGCCTCATTCCTGTTCCCTGTGCACTGTCCTCTGAGTGCACCCTTTCCACAGGGTTTGCTGTACTTGCTTTTTTTCTACTACCATCATACAGTTCCACACACGTCTCTACGTCTAGCCACTGAGAACTCTGCAGTTCAAATGCCTTGCTCATTGGCACTTGTTACCATCATAAGTAAATTTTTTACCTAACTTTTTGCTAATGCTGCTCCAAACTATTACTCTGTTCTCTGTTCAATAGACCAAACAGTGTTTTGGACAAAGCAGCTTTAGTTCTAGGCAGCATGCCCCAGTCTTCTGTTGGTCCTATTCAGCATCCGGTCTGTCAAGTCAGACCACCTGCGCTTTGTAATTGTGCTGAGCGCAGGGGAATGCTTTTCTTTAGATTCGGATGGGCCAGGTGGTGCTTCAGCACAAGTTCTCCACTTCATGTGGCACAGCAGTGATGCCTGACAAGTCAATTAAGGCAAACAGGCATCACAGGATGGTGGGAGTTGGAACTAAATTGAAGCAATAACTGTAAACTGAAAGCTAAGCATTTAGCGACAGTTGGAGCTGGACTCAAATCATTAAATCATTACTTCAGGCATTGCTAGTGAAGTCAGTACAGTTATAGATTGTGTTCTGTAAACAGTGCGTTGTATTTATTACAGTGGCGCTGTTGGAAAACGGAGCAGTTAGAGGAGCAGACTTTATGATGCATAAATTTATTTTTTATTTCATATTAATTTGGGGACACAAGGGACACTCCCTACTCCTGTCAAAATGGACTTTATGATATATTGTTCGGATCATTTTTTATATATCATTCTTTTTGTTAAATTTCTGCTAGTTTATCTTGTTGACCACTCACATTTGTTGCAAGAGGTCTGTTAAGCAGCTAACTATAAGCTGCCCAGTGTTTACATTATGTGATCGTATGAATATTAAGCAGAGCATTGCAGAAAAAAACCAAGCATAATCCGCACATTAACCGCTGTAGGTAAAGGCAATGCAAAGTCAATAAAAGGTTAATGGTAATCTGTTTGCTTTTTGTGTTTACAGGAAGAAGTCCTTTCTCTTTTCTGCACTCTACGCTGCCTTTATCCTCGGCGGCCGCCATGTCATGAAACAGAGGGAGAAGTTTGAGCTGAGGAAACCGCTGGTGCTATGGTCACTCACGCTTGCTGTGTTCAGGTGAGAAAGTGTTAACATTGTTAATGGCAGAAAATACATATCCAGTTTCAAATATTATTTAATATAAAGGGCCAACAGTTGAATCAGTTAGTGGTCAGTTTCTCTAGCTTTACTTTTTACAAAACATTTTCTCCCGGTCATCAAATGGCTCAGTAGACACACAGCTGATGAAATATTTATGTCATGTCAAGTTTGTGGTGTCATTTGCACCTGTATTTGACCACATTTACTTGTAATTTACACAGTCATACTGGTCTCTTTCCTGTTTTCCTAGTTTGGGAATTTGGTCAGTGTGGGTGTAACTTTGACCTCATATTGCTGGGCTGCCATCTTTTGTTTGTTTTAATTTATATTTTTGGCTTTATGTTGGCATGAGTACAATGTGAAATTACTTTGAAACTATAAAACCCTGTAAGGCCCTGTTATCTTGTCTGTATGGTGTGCCTTTTCTATCCATAGTGCAGAGTGCATCTGTCACATCAGGCACTACCAGCAACAGAGGGAAGCAGGTGAAATGTTGCTATGGAGCCATGGAACCTCTTTACACATCAAGTACATAGTGTGTAACATTAAATTCATCGCTTGGGGGGTGGGGGTCATTTAAATAAAATGAGTCATGGTTTATTTCAAACTAACTAAAAATGTGGTTTAATTCACATGGGATCCTATGCTGGTCTAGAAAAAAAAATAGTTGATTTGTTTCAGATATGTAAAAAGTGGTGCATATTTTAGCACTTTATTACTATAAAGATGCAGCTGATACTGACACACACGGCATGACTTCACATATTAACTACAGTAACGAAATAACTACACATTTTCCCTCTTCAATGATTTTTTAATGTTCTTTGGTATCTTTGTGCTTATAGTATATTTGGTGCCATCCGTACTGGAAGTTACATGACGTACATCCTGATGACGAAAGGGCTTAAACAGTCAGTATGTGACCAGAGCTTTTACAATGGGCCTGTCAGCAAGTTCTGGGCATACGCCTTTGTACTTAGTAAAGCACCAGAACTGGGTAAGTTAAGACATCTTTATGGCTTGTTTAATTTTTTCCGTGTACTGGGTATAATATATTGTTTCCCATAAATCGTCCACCAAGTAAGGTTTTGTTTTGGATTCATTTCATTGTTATAATGTTGTGCAGGAAGTTGGTGCTTTCACTGATGCTGCTTTCAGACAGCTAAGACTATATACTGCCAAACAGGAAGGGCATGTTAGTGAACTGAAGTTATAATAATTTATCATCCCAATGTAAGACTAAACAAATATTAGGCAGATGGCAGATACAATTACAGAAAGGCCTAATGGGCTGTATCAAAGTCTAACCTCACAAATTGCATGTTGTTTTCTTTTTTACAGTGGAGCTGTCAATGTAAATTTAATTCTTAGTTCTCAGGCTCCCTCAAACAATGCTCAGACAATATAAAAAGAATATCACACATAGACATAAAATAGTACAGAAGTTAAAAGGTAAATATAGGAATATAATAATAAAATATGATACAATAAAATAGAATATAATACTGTGACTACTGTACATCAATTTGAAAAGGGAAGCATAACCTCATAATGCTAATACAGTAACAGGGAAATTAAATCAACTAAATCAGAAATATTTCTAAATTTTGAAACAAGTAATTTTAAACCCTGGAAGTCATTATACAAAATTATTTATATTACAGTAATTTCCTTACAATGTTGCAGGTGAGAAGAAATACATTAAAAAAAATACTGAGGGTAAACTTAACGGTAGGCAGGCTTCTTTTTTTTCCAACAATGGCTTATTTTATTTCTGTCTGTATTTACAATAAAAATCGGTTTATTTTTGCCATGTTAGCATTATAATGTGTAATAAATTGGTGCAGTAAATAGTGCTTTTGCTGTTGTTTCAAACATTTCAGCGGTACTCTGTGTGTAAACAGCTCTGTGGTTTTACATAGTTAATTTAGCCAATATTTTCTGCATATTTGAGAGCAACTTAAATCACAGCCAGTGGTTTTGAATCAGACAATTGTAATGATATATCCTTTCCATCTGTTCCTGTCCCTTCATTCAACCTTCCTTTTCTTTATTCCCCTCCTCCCCATGCTCTTCATAAACATCCCTCATCTCTTGAACAACTCAACTTCCTGCAGGTGACACTCTCTTCATCGTCCTGAGGAAACAGAAGCTCATCTTCCTCCACTGGTACCACCACATCACCGTGCTGCTGTACTCCTGGTACTCCTACAAAGACATGGTGGCCGGCGGCGGATGGTTCATGACCATGAACTACTTGGTCCACGCCGTCATGTACTCTTACTATGCCTTGCGGGCGGCCGGCTTCAAGGTGTCACGCAAATTCGCCATGTTCATCACACTGACCCAGATCACCCAGATGCTGATGGGCTGTGTGGTCAACTACCTGGTGTACTCGTGGATGCAGCAGGGCCAAGAGTGTCCATCACACATGCAGAACATTGTGTGGTCATCCCTCATGTACCTCAGCTACTTTGTGCTCTTTGTCCAGTTCTTCGTCGAGGCCTACATTGGCAAGTCCAAATCAACTGCCTCGGCTGTCACCAAAAAGAAGGAGTAAACGAATGCCAAAAGTATGGGAAGAAGGGAGATGATGAAGAAAAAATGTTCGGAGAGCAGGGACCAGTGACTTGAGAGAATCTGTTAGGGTTTTGTAAGGGTTTTGGGAATCAAAGATGGATGATAGAGAGGTTGCATTGAGGCTGACGGAGTGGGGTGGGGTGGGGTGGGAGGGTCAAGAGGATGGTGTTTGTGCTTGAGCATTACTATTAATGTGCATATCTAAAATGCCTCAATGGAGGTGACATCTCCGTTGAGGGATGCTGAGAAAGCAGCGCCATGATCAGAAGCCATCACAAGTTGTCCCCCTGAAGTTTAAAAGCCCCTTTTTGAATTCACGGTGAATACTTTTTAAAACCTAGAATATAAGGACAAAATCGCCAGATTTAAAAAAATAATAAAAAATAGATCTGCCACAAGCATATGTTTACTTGGTATTAAAAAAGAGAAATTAATCGGTACATATGAAGATGGATAGCATCGGTGTAAACTTGAGCCATCTGAGTATGTTTATGTCCGTCTGTCGTCAGTGTTTGTTGTTTCGTTTTGATCTGTCAAGGAAAACGTTGGAGACACTGGTGAGTTTGTGAAGCGGATGAGTGTTGGTGGTTGTTGTGAACTGACGGGGTGAACGGCACTGTATCCTCTGTGTCTTACATTGCAAAATGCGATATTTTCTCAGGTCTTAGGCTATCTCTTTATAATATAATATGCATATCAAGACAAAGTAGACATGTTTAAAATCAGCACCGGTTTACAGTATGGCTAAAATTCATCCAGTATGGCTGCACAGTTGAAGAAAGTATGAATGAAGCTGATTGGACTACCTGACTCAGATGGTCACCCTGCTTCTGGGCATGATGGGAAACAGATGCTGACAGTGCCCTCCTTCACCACTTGTCATGACCTTGCAAAAGTTGCCGACCACACTTGGAAAATGACTTGTCATTGATTTCCAGACATTTATCTGTGTTAAAAGGTACCTACCAGTGAAGAAAAATTGTCTGTTGAACACAGAAGGCTTAAATGGAGGACAAACATATTTATATTTAGCAAAAGAAAAAAAATGCAAATTGTTAAAATCTGCTGTATTGATTTTAAAAAGTAGTATGTATCCTTAATGGTGTCTGTTGTGCTTTTGTGCATTTGCACTGTATCAATGTCAAAAACAAGTGTTGCTGAAAAACTTAATGTATGAACAAAGAGTGCAAAAATGTGACATGTGCCTGTGGTGTTTATTTTTTGTCTCAACTGCGGCATCTTGGCATTGCACATACTTTCCTTTTACTTTTTTGGTGCTGAAACTGAAAAGCCATTCTAGGGGCTACATGGCGATTCAAAATTGGCAATATTTAGAAAGGTTAGAGGGGGATTATTGCTTCGTAATATCAAGTAGATTTGTTCAGCTGTTCAAATGTGTAGACAGTATGCTTGCATGCATGTCACTTGATTCAGTGGCTCCTATGTAGCAGTAATTTAATACAAGTTGCATACCTGCTATGAGCTCTTAAGCATTTTAAGGATTCCACTTTCTGGTTTCACCCGAGTCACTTAAGTTAATGTGTGTGGCAATAACTGCATAAATGACTTGAGTAATTGAGCTAATTGGCTCAAGCAATTAACCAACTTGCATAAAAGTGTTCACATCTGCTTTACCTGGCCTCCCCCTAGAGGTGCAATTGTGCAATAAAGCTTAATTTACTGAGATTATGGAATCTACATTTAAGCAAAAAACTGTTAAGTGGACAGATCCTTCACTTTGAGTAAGGACAGTTTACATTGTTCTGTTAGAAAATAAGATTATCTGCTCTTTTCTGTTATTTAATTTGATACCTTGATCATCTAACATCATTTTTAATTATTTCCTGTTATTCACTGTTGGAGTTATGCATAAGCACACTTTAAATTAAGATCAAAGTTTGCCTTTTAGAAAAATAAATGAATCGTGTCTTTCACTAAAACTCCATATTGTGAATGTGTTACTGACACCACACAATACAATTCCTACTTTTAATTAAGGTTAGACATAAAATATATTTGTAACATACCAGACAGACATATATTAAGTGTTAGTTTAGATCAGCCCGATGTATTTACTTGTTTAGAAGATTATTGTTTAGTTCAGCAAAAAAGGAAAACGTGGAACCTGAAAGTGAGCTTTCCTCTCACCTAGTGTAGGAGTACGAAAAATGTCACTTCCGGCTGCACACTTGTGAATGTGTTAAAAAAAAAAAAACTCTCTTTGTTGTTCAGCTGTAACGTTAGTAAGTAGGAGCATTTAAAGAATATGAAAGAGTCTTCAAAAACTGTGGTAAGTGTTGTAAACGACTTTTTTTTTTCTTTTTCCAAAGGTTGAATTGATTTTATCTTCGACAAACATTCTTAAGCTAGCTAACATTAGTCCCACATGTAGACCGAAGAGGTAATGAGCAAACATTTTACGATGTAACAAAACGGATAATAAATTAAATACTTTAAATATGTTCCCCTAAATTTGGCAAAGGTGATGTGAAACCATGCAAGTTACAGACGTGGCTGCTAATGCTTGTTGTTAACGTTACGCACGCAACGCACGCCTGTGCCTCAACAGACAAACTTTGACAACATGGGGCTAGATCAATATGATTTTTACAAAATATGACTCAGAAAGGAAGTTAGTTTCTCCTACTTTATTCTAGCGATAGCCTAATTACGTACTGCTAGTGTAAGCTTCCAATGCAATATCAACTTTCTGTGGAATAGAAAATGGTCCCCTCAATTGTTTTATCTTTATATTAAATCACACACAATAATGTGAGAAATTGCATGGCAACAATCTCTTATAATATGTAATATGTCCTGAAGTATACTGTCTTTGAACAAGCATCAGTATTTTTCCAATATTTCATGGCACATATAATTTGTCAATACAAGAAAAACGCAGGTGTTTTTAATGACACAGACGACTGACCTGTTGGTTGTTCAGCCAATGAACCAGCATTCACAATACCAGGAAGCCCTGAAGGGGTAGACCCAAAATGACATGCAGCCACTATTAATGCTAACAGTAAAACGTGCTTTTCCTGCAATGACGGCTCAACTTATCAACTTATTGTGTAAAAGGACTCATACGTCAGGTGTGCCATACATTTTAGTGCTTTGACTGTACAGATTGTTTTAGTTGTGTCACATACTGTTGGCTACAAATATAAGAAGAATTACTAAATGCAAACAAATGATCTTTAATCCCACTGAATTTCCCTTAATGTGGAGATGGATCGGTCTGTCTGTGTTTATTATATTTTAGGTGTTGTCTCAACTATATGTGGTTGATTTTACATTATTAACAAAGTTTGAATGAAAATAAATATGGATGGCACAAAGACAAACGGTGCATGTTGTGTATGTAGTAAAAACACAGGCATATTATGGGCATACAGAATAAGTCTAGTCTGTTTTCGCAATGTTGAACATGCCAATGTCATGAATGTTGATTGAGTAGTCTTTGTTAACACACCTGTTCTACATGTTTGTCACATTTCATTGTAGTGAATGTTGTTGTTCAGGGTTTAGTGGATATAATAACTGGATAGTCTGTTCAGTTTGTTGACAAAGTACATACTGTGGGTCATGTTGCTGTGAACTAGAGAGAGGTGTTCTCAGTGACGACGTTAGTACTGTATGTGAAAGACATTGCAAACTGTTGACTATTGGGGACATTTATCTGATGTTGATTTGCACAGTGTACATCTCAGTTGGCTCATTCAATTCTGGCATTTAGGCCTTTCATTCATATATTAACTAACAATAACATTTAACTTTTTTTAAATTGTCAAATTAAACATTTCTAAATCCCATCGTGCACAGTAATGTTTGCACAGGGGGCTGCAAGTACATAGTTTTATATCACTTTGTTGTTTGTTATGTATCATGTGGCTGAGAAACACTATTTGAATAAGAGATTTGGATTCAAAGGCTGACAGGGCAGGGTTCTGAATTACATTTCATTTGTTTTTCACTCCTTTTGTAAGATCTTATTTGTGCCACAAAAGGGTTAAAGCCCATGTAATCCCATCCAATGTAGACAGCTGTAGTCTAGTTTATTGTGCTGACATACACTTGCAGCACTGCCAGTATGTGCATTACCTTATCCAAAAAAATCCATGAAGTGATTGATCTAGCAATCACTGTTTTATTGGTCTACATGCATGGTCTACATTTTTATAATATGAAGAATCTATCTCATGAAAAAGGTTTTTACTTATGAGTTGCTCATTAGGCAATCATTTTTGATCATTGCTGCTACTTACTAAAGGTTGAGCTTCTATAAAGTAATGTTCCTTATACACTATCGCCATCTGCTGGAATAAAGACAGTTCAGCCTCAAATATAAAAATTAGGATTAGCATTACAACATCAAACAAAAAGTCTTCCCACTTTCCATTTGATCCGAGCACTGCTGGTGAAGTCCACTTACAATCATTCTAATGAAGTACCTCTATTTTAAGTTCTTTTCATAATTATTGGTTTCTAGACAGTTAATGAGGGCTGCTACTCTTACAGTATGAGGACATTCTCTCCAGGATCATAGAGCAAATATCATACCTTTATTCTGTGGTGTCTCTTTAGTCATTGTCATTTATTTATTTAAAATAAGCAAAATATCTACTATTTTAATGTAATGAAAATGAGACCAGGCCTCAAAGCATCACTAACCCACTGAACATGCAAACTGAGACCTTAAGCATGTGTTTTAGCTGTTTAGCTTTTTTACTGTGACAACAATACAGTAGAAACAGTGAACACTAGTTAGAGTTTACATGAGAATGGTCAACTTTAAACATAATGAATAAGAGTACTTTTATCTATAAGTAGCTTCAGGACAAAAAAAAGGTTGATTATGATTTCTAAATAAATATATAATAAAGGGCTTGAAAGTAATGACACACAAATGCACAAATACATCTTTTCAACTCGTCATTTTAACTCCAAACATTGTTAAAATCTTTGTTTTTATTTTGCAATAAAGGTAATATTCCTTCATATGCATTAATTTGGGATTGGCTGCCACTTAAGGGAAAGAATATTTCAGGCTTTAAATCTCAAATTATTCCCTCCAGCTGGCCCTCAGGAGACAAAACTGCAAAGGGAGAGCTCCCTTGTTTGAGAGTTTCCCTCCTCTGTGTTGCACCATAGATTCTGGCTAATGTGTCTGTGTCCAATTCATGCATTAGACCCCCTCCCCTTTTGATTTTAAATCTGCCCAGATCCGTGCAAACTAGTGTTACTCTGTCCTGCTCAAGAGCTGGAGGGACCAAATACTGACCTGAAGGATCAGAGCAAAGCCTTTGAGTGGGTAGCTAATTCCCTCTTTAGCCCTCATCAGCTGTCCTCCGGTCTGGGATGGAGACGTGAGCGATAAAGCAAAGCTATCTCCATCTGGCAGAAAAATACAAAATTAGCAAATAGAGAAGGAATGAAAATACTTCAGTTACTTGTTTTTGTACTCTTTTAAAAAGAAAAACTTGCTTGTCCAAACTTATTAACCTTTATAATTTATTTTTTTTCTTTAAATCTACTTACTTTTTTAATAAAATAACTTTCACTAACTTCCAATTCATGTTTTTTGCTTTTTCTTACTGTGATAATCCATTGACAAATTCAAACCCTCACCACACCCCTTTTTATTTATTTTTAGCGTTCAACATCTGAAGCCAAAACTGAAACTGAAAGCTAGTGGTCCACTGATTTGGGTTTTTCAATGGCCGATGCCAATATTTAGAAAGCAGGGCGGCCAATGGCCGATATATAAAATGCCAATATCAAAACAAAGAAAACTCATGTATAAATCCAGTAGTCCATGCAGAATACAATCTAATATACATTGTTATTTTATCCAGTAACGTGTAGTAACAGATGGAATTTTTATTAATTTTATATAAAAAAAAATTGGGTTATGCAGTGTGACTGGTGTTTAAGGGAAAGTGAGGTACATTTCGTCAAAAGTGACATCAATTAAGTGCTTTATTCTTTACAGTATAACTATATATTTATCGCTCACCAGTAATGGTGTTAGATTAGATGTGCTGTGATTTAGGATGGGAGAAATGTGTTTTAGGGCTGTGATTTAGGGCTTGAAACTAACTTTTTGACCACCTTCCCAAAACTCACAAGGAGGAGCGCTAACATCATCCACAGCACACTGACAAGGCTGCCTGCCGGTGTCTGCAGACATATTTTGTATAT